TCCTGCAGAGCAGGGAGCCCAATGTGGGACTTGATCCCAGGATCCCAGGACTTGATCCATGGGATCATGACCTGAGCCGAAGGCAGACGCTTAATAACTGAGCCACCTAGGTGCCCCTAGAGCCTCCATTTTTGATTGCACCTCATTAATATCCTTTTTGATTTCAACTTGGTTAGATTTTAATTCTTTTATTTCTCCAGAAAGGGTTTCTCTAATATCTTCCATACTTTTTTCAAGCCCAGCTAGTATCTTTAAAATCGTCATTCTGAACTGTAGTTCCAACATCTTCCTAATGTCCATATTGATTAGGTCCCTGGCAGTCGGTACTGCCTCTTGTTCTTTTTTTTGAGGTGATTTTTTCCGTCTTGTCATTTTGTCCAGAGGACAATAGGTGAATGAGAGAACAAAATGCTAACAGGGTAACAATGACCCCAGAAAAATATACACTAAACAAATCAGAAGAGACATGAAACCAGGGGAAAAGAAAGGGAAAGAAAGAAAAAAGAAAAAAAAGGAATATGATCAAATATGATCAGGCTGGTGCATAGATCAGTGCCACACACTAGATTTTGGTCATATTTTGGTCTGTTAGAAGAAAGTGCCTCCCAAAATTTTAAAGAAAGAAAAACTTATATATGTACAAAAATAAGGGTAAATACAATGAAGGGATGGACTATGACTGTAAAGATGAAAATTATAAAAGATTTTATAAAAGGAATTGATAAGATAAGAAGTTGGTTGAAAAAGAGAAGAGGAATTAAAAAAAAGGGGGGGGGGGAGAGAACGTGATCAGGCAGGAGACTAGAACAAAGCCACACTAGAGATTCAGGGTATATTTTGGTCTGTTAGAAGAAACTGTATCCCAAAATTTTAAAGAGAGAACAACTTATATATATATACACCAAAAATAAGGGTAACTACTATGAAGGGATAGAATATGACTCTAAAAATGAAAAATAAAAAAGATTTTTAAAAAAGGGATTGATAAGATGTTGGTTGAAAAAGGGAAAAAGAAAAATTCAGAAAAAGAAAAAAGAAAGAAAATTTTAAAAATTAACTTTGAAATACTAAAGAATAATGGGGGAAAAAGCCATGAATTCTATGTGCTGTATTCCCCTAGTGCTGGAGTTCTGCCATTCTCATTGATCAGTAAACTTGGTCTTGGCTGGCTGTTCTTGCTGATCTTCTGGGGGGAGGGGCCTGTTGCCATGGTTCCCAAATATCTTTGCCGGAGGCAATTGCCGGGCCGGACTAAGTAATCTGTTCGGGTTTGCTCTTGGGAGCTCTTGTTCCCTGCAAGCTTTCCGTACAGCTTTGGAGGACGTGAGTCAAAATGGTGGCCTCCCAATCTCTGCCCCGGAGGAGCCGAGAACTCGGGGCCTCGCTCCTCAGTGTGCCCCCAGAGAAAAGCAGTCAGTCACTCCCGTCTCCCGGGTCTCCGGCCACACTCCATGCTCACCTGGCCTGTGACTGAGCGTTTCTATCTCTGGCCCCCAACCCCGTGTGGAGTCTCCAAACCAGCAGATTCCTGTGGTGAGCTCTCACACCACTTCTCCTGGGGGAGGAAGGGGAGTCTCCCTGGATCTGTCGCTTGTTGGGTCCCTGCTGGAAGAGCAGTGGCCCAACTGTGCTGCGGATCCTGGTTTATGGCAACCCCGGGCTGAAAGCCCGCTCCTCGCCTCCGTCTCTGCTGCTGGCTTCCCCGCTCCGATACCTGGGAGCTCTGCTGCACTCAGGCACCCCCGGTCTTCCTGTGACTCCGAGGGTCCCGAGACCAGAGTGTCCCAGAGAGGGTTCCACCCACTGCTTAGCCACTGGAGTGAAATCCCTCAGCAGAGCAGACTTCTAAAAGTTCTGATTTTGTGCTCCGCGGCTCTATCACTTGCCAGTAGCCGGTGATGGAGGCTCCCTCCCCCCGCAGTCTATCTTCCTGAATATCACCTCAGATTCACTTCTCCACACATCCTACATTCCAGAAAGTGGTCGCTTTTCTGTTCAGATAGTTGCTGCTATTCTTTTCTTCAATCTCCTGTTGAGTTCATAGGTGTTCAGAAAGGTTTGATCCCTATCTAGCTGAATTCCTGGGACCAGACCAAATTTAGGTTTCCTACTCCTCCGCCCTCTTCCTCCTCCCCACCCCAGCAAGTTTTTATATGCTTCTTGTCTATTTCATAACTTCTTCAGATAGATGTGTGTTCAAATTCTTGCTCATTTATAGTTCAGTCATTGCTCTGTTTGGTTTTGGGTTGTAAGAGTTCTCTGTATCTTCTAGATAAAAGTCCCTTATCAGATATATGACTTGCAAATTTTCCCCCCATTCTGTAGGCATCTTTTCACTTTCTTCATAGTGTTCTTTGTAGCATGAAATTTTTAATTTTGATGATGTACAATGTACGTATTTTTCCTTTTATTGTCTGTGACTTTAGTGTCATATTTAAGAATTTATTGTAAAATCTGAGGTCATTGACTTGTCCCAGCACCATTTATTGACAAGACCATTTTTATTCCATTGAATGGTATTGGAAGCCTTCTCAAAATTCAGTTGACTGTAAACACATGGGTGTAATTTTGGACTCCAAATTCAATTCCATTGATCTTTATGTCCCTCCTTATGCCTGGACCACAACGTCTTGATCATTATAGCTTTGTGGTAAGTTTTGAAACTGGAAGTTGGAGTTCTACAATTTTATTCTTTTTTCTTTCAAGATTGTTTGGCCATTCTGGGTCCCTTACGATTCCATATGAATTTTAAATTCAGTATGTCAATTTCTACAAAGAAGCCTGCTAGGATTCAGATAGGGAATGCATTAATCTGTAGATCAGCTTGAGGAGTATTGCCATCTTGATAATATTAAGTTCTAATCCATGACCATTAGATGTTTTTCCATTTACATAGATCTTTGTTAATTTATTTCAACAATATTTGTGGTTTTCAGAGTACAGCACTTCTTTTGTTAAAGCTATTCCAAATTTCCCAATTAAACCATTTGGCTCTCAGCTTATATTTATGGAGAGATACCAATAAATACATTTCCTTGTTATAAGAAAAAGCTACTCCTAAGTATTCTGTTCTTCTTGATGCTTTGTAAAGGAGTATATTCCTAATTTCACTTTTGGATTTTTTATTGCAGTGTGTGAAATGCAATTGATTTTGTATGTTGATCTTGTATCCTGAAACCCTGCTAAACTGGTTTATTAGTTCCAATAGACTTCTATTGCATTCCTTTAGATTTTCTATGTACAACATTATGTTCTCTAGTAATAGAGATGCTTTTACTTCTTTATTTCCTCTATGAATAACTTTTGTTTCTTCTTTCTTTCTTACCTTTTTTTTTTTTTTCACACATTTCCTGGCTAGAACTTCTAGTACAATGTTGAATAGAAGTGGTGATAGAGACATCCTTGTTTTGTTTAATCTTAGGGGAAATTGTCCAGTCTATATCCATGAAGTGTGGTGTTAGCTCTGAGTTTTTCATAGATGCCCTTTATCAGGTTGAGGATATTCCTTTCTGTTCCTAGTTTGTTGAGTGCTTCTATTGTTAAATGCTGTTGGATTTTTGTCAAATACTTTCTCTGCCTGTATTGAGATTACCTTGTGGTTTTTAAAAAATTTTGTTGTTTTATTGTATTATATGACCTGGAGTTGCTGGGATAAACCCCTCTTGGTTATGGTATAACCTTCTTTTGATATGTTGCTGGGTTCAGTTTGCCAGTATTTTGTTGAGGATTTGTGCATCCGTGTCATAAGACACATTGGTCTGTAGTTTTCTTGTTCTGTGTTATCATTGCCTGGTTTTAGTATCAAGGTAACACTGGCCAGGTAGAATGAGTTTGGAAGTGTTCCTACCTCTTCTATTTTTTGGAAGAACTTGTGCAAAATCGGTATTGACTGCACTTTAAATATTTGCTAGAACTCACCTGTGAAACCATCTGGAGCTGAGCTTCTTTTTGTCAGTAGTGTCTTCACTACTAACTTAGTCTTTTTGTCTTTCAGATTGCCTGTGTTTTTTGTATGTCATTTTCTAATTCATCTTTTTCTAGGAATTCTTCCATTTCATCTAATTTATTGGCATTCAATTGTTCATAGTATTCCCTGTAGTCTTTTTTATTTTTGTAATGTCCTCTTTCACTTCTGATGATAGTAATTGGAATCTCTTCTCCTTTTTGCTTGGTCAGTCTAGCTAAAGGTCTTTTGAAAGAATCAGCTTTTCTTTGTTTGAATTTTCTCTTGTTTTTATTCTCTATTTCCTAAGTTTCTGCTCTTGTCTGTATGATGTGCTTCATTCTGCTTGCTTTTGGTTTAGTGTGCTCTTCTATTTTCGGCATGTTTTTGAAAGAAAGCTGGGTCATTGATTTGAAATCTTGGTTCTTTTTAAAGGTAGGCATATATAGTAATAAATTTCTTCCTGGTCATTGCTTTTGCTACAACCATGAGTTTTGGTATGTGGATTCTTCATTTTTTGTATTCTCCAAGTAACTCTAAAGTGCCCTTTTGATTTCTTCTTTGCCAAGTGGCTGTAATAGGAGTGTATGATGTAATTTCCACAGATTCATGAGTTTCCATGTTGTTTGTGTTCTTGTTTTCTAATTTTATTCCATTGTAGTTGAAGGGCATACTATGTATTATTTCCATCCTGACACAATTTCTTAAAAAGAGTGATTAATTAAAGTAGCTTATTATGGTCTGGTGTTTCCAAAGAGGCTCTAGTCCAAAAATAAAAGGCTAAGAGATCCAGGAATGTAATCCTGTTCCCTTGGTCACTCCAAAGATGTGGCAGGAGACACTGATCTGACTGTTCTAGTGGTGGCCCATATGTGTGACTTGCTCTGGCTCAGACATTGGCTTGAAAGTTCAAGTAAAGGTCATAGAGGGAATAACTCCGATATGAATGAATCCTGATGTTTTTTAATCCTCAGGTTAGTAGACCAAATTATAATTGCTCCAGGGCAATTTTGCATTTTCACTGATATTTCCATTGTTTTTTTTTTTTCCCTTATAGTACTGTTTCCATTCCTTATCCCAGTTTTTGAAAAATTAAATATCTCACTATTTCCAAAAAGTGTTACTGATTTTTTCATGAAATCTGTAAAAAGGATGAAGGAAAGTCGCCTCAAAGATAAACAAAAGGTAAATCTGGTGGTGGTTACATGTGCATGTTCACTTTTGATCTTTTATTGAGCTGTATTCATCTGATGTGCACACTACTAAGTATGTTTTTATTGTAGGTAGAGAACTATAGGGTTTAGAGCAGGAGACTTCTAACATTTTAGAGAGAATGAAGAAGGTAGCGGTCAGGGAAGGAGATAAGAAGATGAGTCAGAGAGACAATGTTTAAAATTTAAGAATAATGTTTAAAATTTAAGAATAAGCATGCCAACGAGTATGTCACTGCATAAACTTTGGTGAGAGAAAAACTACCACTTACCTTAAGTGGTAAATTGTCAAAGCATAAAAATTACTGTGTACAATCATTTTCCTGGTAGTATGATTTTGCCAGATCTTACATTGGCAAAGGATCCCTTCAATTCTAAGCCTCGTTTCTTACACATTCTCTAGTGGAAGTTCCCCTCAGGCACCTAGTTATGTTAAATTTGAGGATATCATAGTGTGGAGTGAGCAGGTGTCTTCTTTGGACCCTGAGGCTGCAAGCTGGCCAAGTAGGCTTTGCCTTCCTGAGGCCTGGCGGCCAGCACTAGGATGGATGTAGGACAGGAAGACAGGGTTGGTACTCCAGCATGTCTCTGAAGATTGTACAGAGTTCTGGGAGGGTGGGGCATTGGAAGATGTTGACATGGAAGCTGCCCGTGGACTCTGCAGAGGTCAGGGGATTGGTCTATGTGGGCATTCATTAAGAATTGAGGCTGGAAAAACAAAAGGACTGAAGTCGGGCACTTTCTCCTAAGCTAGTAGGTATGACAGGAGAGGGAGCAGGCAACTCTTGGGCCAGTCAGCTGTGTTCAAAAGCCAGAGAAGCTGAAGATCAGAGAGAGCAAGAACCAAAAAGCAATGGGACATAATGGCTGGATTCCTGTAAAAGAAATATTGTGCTCTCCAAGATTTGTAGCTGGATGTAATCATCAAGACAGTATGGCACTGGCACAAAAACAGACACATAGATCAATGGAACAGAATAGAGAGCCCAGAAATGGACCCTCAACTCTATGGTCAACTCATCTTTGACAAAGCAGGAAAGAATGTCCAATGGAACAAAGACAGTCTCTTCAACAAATGGTGTTGGGAAAATTGGACAGCCACATGCAGAAGAATGAAACTGGACCATTTCCTTACACCACACACAAAAATAGACTCCAAATGGATGAAAGACCTAAATGTGAAACAGGAATCCATCAAAATCCTTGAGGAGAACACAGGCAGCAACCTCTTTGACCTCAGCTGCAGCAACTTCTTCCTAGACACAGAGCCAAAGGCAAGGGAAGCAAGGGCAAAAATGAACTATTGGGACTTCATCAAGATAAAAAGCTTTTGCACAGCAAAGGAAACAGTCAACAAAACCAAAAGACAACCGACAGGATGGGAGAAGATATTTACAAATGACATATCAGATAAAGGGCTAGTATCCAAAATCTATAAAGAACTTATCAAACTCAACACCCAAAGAACAAATGACCCAATCAAGAAATGGGCAGAAGGCATGAACAGACATTTTTCCAAAGAAGACATCCAAATGGCCAACAGACACATGAAAAAGTGCTCAATATCGCTCAGCATCAGGGAAATCCAAATCAGAACCTCAGTGAGATACCACCTCACACCAGTCAGAATGGCTAAAATTAACAAGTCAGGAAACGACAGATGTTGGTGAGGATGCAGAGAAAGGGGAACCCTCCTACACTGTTGGTGGGAATACAAGCTGGTGCAGCCACTCTGGAAGACAGTATGGAGGTTCCTCAAAAAGTTGAAAATAGAGCTACCATATGACCCAGCAATTGCACTACTGGGTATTTACCCCAAAGATACAAATGTAGTGATCCGAAGGGGCACATGCACCCCAATGTTTATAGCAGCAATGTCCACAATAGCCAAACTATGGAAAGAGCCAAGATGTCCATCAACAGATGAATGGATAAAGAAGATGTGGTATATATATACAATGAAATATTATGCAGCCATCAAAAAATGAAATCTTGCCATTTACAATGACATGGATGGAATTAGAGGGTATTATGCTAAGTGAAGTAAGTCAATCAGAGAAAGAGAAAGTATCATATGATCTCACTGATATGAGGATTTTGAGAAACAAGAAAGAGGATCATAGGGGAAGGGAGGGAAAAGTGAAACAAGATGAAACCAGAGAGGGAGACAAACCATAAGAGACTCTTAATCTCAGGAAACAAACTGAGGGTTGCTGGAGGGGAGGGGGGTGGGAGGGATGGGGTGGTTGGGTGCTGGACATTGCGGGGGGGATGTACTATGGTGAGCGTTGTGAATTGTGTAAGACTGATGAATCACAGACCTGTACCTCTGAAACAAATAATACATTGTATGTTAATAAAAAATTTTAAAAAAAGATTTGTAGCTGGACATTTTTGTTCATTGATGCCTCTGAACACTAGTAACTTCTGGATGTAAAGGGGCCATATTCTCAGGAAAGAATTTAGGTACTGCACCCCTGTTTTATTTTTGACTTCACAAGTGACTTTTTGTCATTGAAATATCTCTTTCTGTTTCTAGCACCGAGTAGATTTTCTTCAGCTGATGATTAACTCCCAGAATTCCAAAGAAATAGACACCTATAAAGGTAAGTAAAAAGAGGTTCAGATGGCTCTTGATGGGGCGATTCAGAGAAAGGGGGTGGTTCTGAGGTATATGGAAGATTTTCAGCAGATGGAATATCAGAATATCAAAGAAAGACACATGTTCAGATACAAATGGTAGCCAGAGCATTTTTCAGAAGAACACAGCCACAGTTTGTTCATAGCTTGAAGAGCAATGATAGACAAAGCTGTCAGTGCTCTGCCACATGGGAGCTTGTTTCCAATGTCAGTCCTCCAGCCTAATCCAGATCCACTGAATCAGACCCTCAGCCTGAAAATTCACATCAAGGCTCATCACATCAGGAGGTACCTGACCCCAGTGTTGGTGACCTTCACTTGGAACACTTGGTTAAACATGTGTTCACTGGCTTAATCTATTCCAATTTTTTTTTCCTTTTGTAATTAAGAAGTAACTTGTGCAGGATGCCTTTGTGATTGTGCACATAACGGTGTTTGTCTTTAAACCATCACCTACTACTTTTACCATCCATGGATGGTATTTGACTAAAACCATTATTACTATGATGGTTGCAAAATGATGACTTTCTACTTCCACCATTTCTTCTACATTTGGAGTGATAGTTCATTGTTAGGGTGAGCTTTCCATTCATCATCATTATTATATTTATTTATATATGCCAGTATGATCTTAATATTAATAACTTAGTCTCTTACATCATTTTTTTAAATTTAGATTGTCAATTCTTTCAGATTTGTCCTCTAGAAGCCATTTAAGTGGGCTCCTATACCCATTTTTTTCGTTCTTCTTTTTTTTATGTTTTCTATAGACTTTGTTTTTTTATAGCAGTTTTATGTTCGCTGCAAAATTGAGTGAAAGACACAGAGATTTATCCCATATTCCTTCTGCCCCACCTACCTATAGCATCTCCCACTATCAAAATCCCTCACGTTGTGGTAATTTTGTTACAATCAATGCCCCTACAATGACAGATTATTACCACCCAAAATCCATAGTTTAAATTACAGTTCACCCTTGGTGTTGTACATGCTGTGGGTTTAGACATACTTATAATGATGTATATCCACCATTACAGCACATAGAGTATTCTGTATCCTTTGCCCATTTATTTTCTGAGCATTTCCTTGCATTCTGGTGTGAGACATTCCAGGTTTCTCTTCTGTTTCCCCTGATGAGCCCTGGAATCAGCCATTTCTCCAAGAAGCTCTGTTTCCTTTTAGTGAGAAGTGGTATTTAGAAAGCAAAATCTGGGATCTAGGAGTGCTCATTGCTACAAGGGTTTCTTTGTTTCTATTTCCTCTCAGTGGGCCAAGCAAAGAACATCAAATATATTTACACAGGACTGATGAAGATAAATATTTCTATATCCATAACCAGTGATGTAATTATGGTCTCTGCATCTGAAAGAAAAAAGGAGTCTTGATTTATAGTTGTTTCTATGACCGAAATATTCCCATTGTGGTCAATTTTAAGCTATCTATGGTTTGACAACCATCTCACAAAATTCTTGAATATATAACAGTTGATTCTAGAGAAAAATGATGGGGTTACTCTATCACACCACTAGTATATAATATATATAGAGAGAGATAGATAGATAGATAGATATAGATATATATAACTATGTCTACTTTTATTCTATCTAACCATCTCTCTATCTATCTAGTTCTACTACTTTCTGTGATGAAGGAAATATTCTATATATGCTTGGTTCTATGAACCACTACACACATGTGGTTATTGAGCACTTGACATGTGGCTAGTGTCACTGAAGATCTGAATCTTATATTCTATTTAATATAATTAAGTAAAACTTAAATATAAATAGCCACATCTGGCAAGTGGCTACCTTATTGCACAGCACAGCTCTAAAGTTTGATTATCATGGGGTTCATGGTAATCGAGAGCAAGAATTTGATAGTTGAATTTATCTACAGCAGCATCACAGAAAGTATGACTGGGAAATCAGAACTCTATAGACCTTTCTTACACTTTTTTATGGTTTTTAGTTGTGAATTATGTGTTTGTGGCAAGTGCCAAGTTCATTTCAGTGCTCTACATATCTAAATGTCCTGATACAGTTCTGATCAAAGAGATCAGAGCATGACCATGCTGTGTTTCTGCCAGGAGAAAATCAAAGGAGATGCCAACTTATATTCAGAGTGGGGCCGTTCACTAAGGAAGGTCACTGATTCAGGCCATGATTGAATAGGCATTGCTAATTCCATTCACTGCATTCAGCTTGTCTATATTTCTTGTCTGCCAGTACCCTGCTATTGACACATTCTTTCTTCTGCTCCTTTAATGGCATGGATTATCCTAGTTCTGTCCCACTCTTCTCACTTTGTCTGTGTCATAGTTTCTGTACACCTTGGAGATCATCCACTTGAGAAGTTGTGTGCCAGGTCTTCTATTAGCTGAGACCTCAGAAAGGTATAATCTGTGCTTCTCAAGGTAGGTTGTGCACACAAATCACCACATCTCATGAAAGGTCAGATTTTGATTTGATACTTTTAGGGTGAAGTTTGAGACTCTGCATTTCTAATAATCCCAGATGCTGCAGATCCCACACTTTGAGCAGCAAGAGTTTATCTGTAGCTCAATTGTGTTCTCTTAAGTTCCTGCAAATATGTTTAGATGAAAGATCATTCATTTTTCCTGACAATTAAGCCTTAGCATTGCAAACTCTCTAATGAGATTTAAGTTCTGTTTAAGCTGGAAGGATTTAAATTTTCCTGGGGGAGAATGTTATCCCATGTGACTTAGGACTGAAGTCCTTTTAGGATTCTGGATACTGAAAACTCTGTGTACATTAGACAGAAATGCCAGCTCCTGAAATTACCTATCTGTGTTGCTGGGGAGGGTGGCATAAGCAGGAGCAGATGGCCAAGAATAGTATAGACCATGGGAATAACCAGATCAAGACAACTTCTAGCTTTTCTGGCTCTGAAAGGTAGACATCAGAGTGAAAATCACTGTGAGTTTGATTCTGAATTGCTTTTACATTTTTCCCCAAGGGAATTGGGAGTTTCCAATAGATTTCTCATCATCTAAACTGTGATGTTTTATATTCACCTGCTCTAGCTAAAATGTCTTTGCTTCTTTTAGCTCTCTCTGATCTGGAGCTCGTGGCCCAATCTATTATCTTTATTATTGCTGGCTATGAGACCACTAGCACTTCTCTTTCCTTCCTTGTATATGAATTGGCCACTCACCCTGATGTCCAGCAGAAACTGCGGGAGGAGATTGATGCGACTTTCCCCAATAAGGTGAGCGGTACCTACCTGAAGAGGGAGTCAGGATAGGCTTGGTTATGTCTCAGTGACACACTAGCCCTCAAACCAAGTGGGTTTTCATAGAAAGGTTTACTTCTAACTCATTAGCATGTCCAGCATGGGGGTGAGTCTGCTTCATATAGTTATTCAGTGATACTGGGGAAAGAGGCTCCACTTTCTTATACCTGCATTATCTGGAACTTGGGGACTAATTGTTGGCTGGGGAACAAGGAACTAGTGTTGCTCTCTTGCTTTTCAAATGTTTGGCCCTGAACTGACATCCATCTCATCAGTTCACAGCCGATTTGCATAGTTTCCCTTAAGTTCCCATGGGCTGGGAACTATGGGGGTCTTCATGGTTATTGGGTGGACAGTGAGTGTCTCTGCCACACACCCTATGAAATGGCAACCCTATTATTTCCATGTAACAATTCAGGAAACTGGGCTACAGAGAGACATCATAACGTTTTAAATTATCATATAACTAGTGGTGAAGAAGCCAAGCTAGGAGCCAGGGTGCCTAGATCCTGATCGACCTCTAACCTCTACAGTGTTGGCTCTTAAATATAACACCACACCTGGGTGGCTCTGTCGGTTAAGGGTCTTCCTTCGGGTTGGATCATGGTCCCAGGGTCCTGGGATCAAGTTCCACATCGGGCTCCCTGCGTAGTGGGGAGTCTACCCTCCCTCTGCCCCCCGCCCCTGCTTGTGATCTCTCTCTCTCACTCTCTCCCTCTCTCAAGTAAATAAAAAAAAAAAAAATATATATATATATATATATTTTATATCACCAAGTGATAGGCACATATTGACCACACTGTTTACCAATCCCTGCCCAACCTGGAGTTCCCTACTTAGGAAGAGACCTGGCCTCTCGGGCTGGAGTGGCTTATTTGGCAAACAGTGAAACCCTGAAGCAACAACAAGGAGACCCTTCCAGCAACAGAGGGTGGACTGAGAGTAGGGTTCTGATCCTCTATATAACGTTCCATAGAACTGAAATTGTGTGTCCACATTTGGTAGCATCCAATCTTACCCTTCTTTTGCCCTACTTGGGTTGAAAGGAAGTAGTGTCTCCCCCAATTATTTATACTTTTTATATAATAGAGTGTTTCTCTCTAAATACTGTAAATATAATTGAAAAGCTAGGAAGCAGGATATTTCCGCTAGAAGAATTTATGTGAAAGAGGGGATATTTTGTGTTGCATGTTCTTCTTCCATAGTGCAGATGTGTGACCCCTGTTTTGAAAGGGAACAGTGACTTCAACATATTTCACTTAAGACTAAGGGTCATAGGGAAGGACAAATAAAATAAGAGAAAAACAGAGAGGGAGGCAAACCATAAAAGACTCTTAAGTATAGGAAACAAATTGAGGGTTGCTGGAGAGGAAGAGAGGGAATGGGGGGATGGGGTAACTAGATGATGGGCATTAAGGAGGGCACCGGATGTAATGAACACTGGGTGTTATATGCAACCAATGAATCACTGAATTCTACCCCTGAAATTCATAATACACTCTATGTTAACTAAATTGAATTTTTAAAAATTTTTTAAAAAGATTAAGGTTCACAATCTATTAGTCACTTTAGTTCACATGAGGAAGAAAAACCATACCTGGTATTGGGAAGGATTCAGGTCCTGTTTAGGGGGTTGTCCCTGCAGTCTCCCCTTGTCATTACTATTGCACACATGTCAGTGGGCCATTGAGCAGGTCAAAGGACATGGTAGACATTAAAATGTCCATAAATGCCCTTTATCAAAGCAAATTATTCTTAGGTGTTCCTAACTCTTCAGTAGCAGTGTGTAGAGTGAGTTGAACGTTGATCCCAAATCTCAATGTATCAAAATCTGTTTCTTTCCTTCCAGGCATTGCCCACTTATGATGCCCTTCTACAGATGGAGTATCTGGACATGGTGTTGAATGAAAGTCTCAGATTATACCCAATCAGTGGTAGACTTGAGAGGGTCTGTAAGAAAGATGTGGAAATCAGTGGTGTATTCATTCCCAAAGGGACAGTGGTGATGGTGCCGGTCTTTACTCTTCACCGAGACCTGGATCTCTGGCCAGAGCCTGAGGAGTTCCGTCCTGAAAGGTACAGGGAACCCTGGAAAGGGGAACCCACCCTCATGTTGAAGGATATTCTGATATTTCCTTAGTATAGATGACAAGCATGTGGTTGTACAATTATTTATTTGTACATCTTTTTGTTTTTAGAAGTATTTTTCTTATTACAAAATGATCATTGTTGTCAAAATTTTGCAAACTGTAGTTGAGAAAAAAGAAAATTAATGTCATCACCAGTCACATACATCATTATTAATCATGTGATATATGTCCTTGTGGATATTTTTCTGTGCATACATAGATTACTAAAAGTTAGGATGGCATTATATATTTTTTGAACTACTTACTTAATGTAACAGTAAGCTATAAAAACATACTATATTTGTGTTTGTGATTATATGCATATACCATAATATACTTCACCATTATCTCATTTAAGAAAATGGGGCTTTTTTTCCCTTTAAGTTTTTCTGCTCTGTCTAGCTCTCTGAATTTACTCCTCACATTCTCACATTCCATTTTTGTAACCCTGGACCACAGATTCTGATAGCTGTAGTGTGAGAGCAGAGGCTGTTGAGCTGAGTTCACATCGCCGGCAGGAGGAACAACCTCCTGAGGACGGAGGTGTGCAAAGGTCCTGTGCTGTCTGTGGCTGCAGTCCTGTGTCAGCTCCCACCTCTGTCAGGATCAGGGGTTCATCCAAAGCAAGCTCATCTGCTCTCTAGCTGTCTGAGACATCCTCCTTGGAGGGTTCTTGAGCTTTCTGTTCTGATCATTCAGAGCAGAGTGTGGCTTTGGGTGCAGCTTGAATTCTGCTAAAGTCCGTGCTTTCCTGTTTATTGTATTGGTGAGCAAAATTTGGATGAACTTTTTAGGGATCTAGACGTTTAGCCCCTACCCCTAACTCCCTGCTGGCAGAGCCCTTCTCCTGTTGCATGGTGTCCCTAGTGCTAGCAATACATCTACACATAGTACTTGCTGAAAGAACTCAAGAATGACCAAGTCATCCGTTTTCTAGACCAGGAGACCTGATGGTTCCCATAAGCTCAGGAGTTCCCTCTCCTGTAGCTTCTCGAATGGAAACCAGAGAGCACTCCTGGTACTTGTCTGTGATTGATTCAGCCACGAGAGGAAGTGCTTACCTATGTGTGTCAGGGACTGTGCCAGGCGTATGAAATCCATGTATTAAAAGTGCCTATTATGGATAATTTTATTAAAGATTTTATTTATTTGAGAGAGAGAAACAGAGAGAGAGAGAGACGGGGGAGAGGTAGAAAGAGCACAAGTAGGGGGAGGGGCCGAGGACCAGAGAGAAGCAGACTCCCCACTGAGTGGGGAGCTCAAGGTGGGGCTTGATCCCAAGACCCTAAGATCATGACCTGAGCCAAAGGCAGACCCTTAACCAACTAAGCCACCCAGGTGCCCCTACTGTGGAGAATTTTTGACATATGCACAAGCATATTCTATAGAGACAAGTCTATGAAATACTTTTAATGAATCTCTATGTGCCCATCACCTGCCCAACAACCACTAACCCATATCAGCTGCCCCATCCACACACCATTATAATTCCTTATCTGTTTTCCGTATTACTTTAAGCCATATCATCTGTAAACATTTCAGTATCTTCTCCATAATATAACAAGGTTTTTTTTCTTTTCATTCATCTCCTTTTTTAAAAAAATTTTTATTATGTTAGTCATCATACAGTACATCATTAGTTTTTGATGTGTTCCATGATTCATTGTTTGCATATAACAGCCAGTGCTCTGTGCAATACTTGCCCACCTTAATACCCATCACCAGGCTAACCCATCCCCCCACTCCCCTCCCCTCTAAAACCCTCGGTTTGTTTCCCAGAGTCCATAGTCTCTCATGGTTCATTTCCCCCTCCAATTCCCCCCCCCTTCATTTTCCCCTTCCTTCTCCTAATGTCCTCCATGCTATTTCTTATGTTCCACAAATAAGTGAATCCATATGATAATTGACTTTCTCTGCTTGACTTATTTCACTTAGCATAATCTCCTCCACTCCCATCCATGTCGATGCAAAAGTTGGGTATTCATTCTATCTGATGGCTGAGCAATATTCCATTGTATATATGGACCACATCTTTATCCATTCGTCTATTGAAAGGCATCTCAGCTCTTTCTACAGTTTGGCTATTGCAGACATTGCTGCTATGAACATTGGAGTGCATATGGCCCTTCTTTTCACCACATCTGTGTCTTTGGGGTAAATACCCAGGAGTGCAATTGCTGGGTCATAGGGTAGCTCTATTTTTAATTTTTTGAGGAACCGCTACACTGTTTTCCAAAGTGGCTGTACCAACTTGCATTCCTACCAACAGTGTAAGAGGGTTCCCCTTTCTCCACAAGCTCTCCAACATTTGTTGTTTCTTGCCTTGTCAATTTTTGCCATTCTAACTGGTGTAAGGTGGCATCTCAATGTGGTTTTGAGAATAGACCACATACTGGGTCACAAATCAGGTCTCAACTGATACCAACAGATTGAGATTATTCCCTGCATATTCTCAGACTATAATGCTTTAAAACTGGAACTCAATCATAAGAGAAAATTTGGAAGAAATTCAAACACTTGGAAGCTAAAGACCACTCTGCTTAAGAATGTTTGGGTCAACGAGGAAATCAAAGATGAACTTAAACATTTCATGGAAACCAATGAGAATGAAAACACATCGGTCCACAACCTATGGGATACTGCAAAGGCAGTCCTAAGGGGGAAATACATAGCCATCCAAGCCTCACTCAAATAAAATAGAAAAGTCCCGAATTCACCAACTATCTTTACACCTTAAAGAACTGGAGAAAAAACAACAAATGATGCCTAAGCCATGCATTAGAAAAGAAATAGTTAAGATTAGGGGCACCTGGGTGGCTCAGTCATTAAGCGTCTGCCTTCGGCTCAGGTCATGATCCCAGGGTCCTGGGATCAAGCCCCGCATCAGGCTCCCTGCTCAGCGGGAAGCCTGCTTCTCCCTCTCCCTCTCCCCCTACTTGTGTTCCCTCTCTCGCTGTCTCTCTCTCTCTCTGTCAAATAAATAAATAAAATCTTAGAAAAAAAAAGCCCTACTATTAAAAAAAAATAATTAAGATTAGAGGAGAGATCAATGAATTAGAAACCAGAAATACAGTAAAGCAGATCAACAAAACTAGAAGCTTGTTCTTTGAAAGAATTAATAAGATCGATAAACCCACTGGCCAGACTTATCCAAAAGAAAAGAGAAAGGACCCAAATTAATAAAATTATGATGAAAGGGAGAGATCACAACTAACACCAAAGAAATAGAAACAATTATTAGAAATTATTATCAACAACTATATGCCAATAAATTAAGCAACCTGAAAGAAATGGATGCCTTCCTGGAAACCTATAAACTACCAAGACTGAAACAGGAAGAAATTGACAACCTGAATAGGCCAATAATTCAGTAATAAAATTGAAGCTGTGTTCAAAAACCTCCCAAAAAACAAGAGTCCAGGGCCTGATGGATTCCCTGGGGAATTCTACCAAACATTCAAGAAGAAATAATACCTATTCTTCTGAAGCTGTTTCAAAAATAGAAACAGAAGGAAAGCTTCCAGACTCATTCTAAGAGGCCAGCATTACATTGATCCCCAAATCAGGCAAAAACCCCATCAAAAAGGAGAATTTCAGACCGATATCCCTGATAAATATGGTTTCCAAAATTCTCAACAAAATCCTAGCTAATAGGATCCAACTGTACATTAAAAGGCTCATCCACCATGACCAAGTGGGATTTATCCCCAGGATGCAAGGGTGGTTCAACATTTGCAAATCAATCAATGTGATAGAACACATTTATAAGAGGAGAGAGAACCATATGGTCCTCTGAATTGATGCGGAAAAAGCATTTGACAAAACACAGCATCCTTTCCTGATTAAAACTCTTTAGAGTGTAGGGACAGAGGAAACATTCCTCAAGTTCATAAAATCCATCTATGAAAAACCCACAGCGAATATCATCCTCAATGGGGAAAAGCTGAGAGCCTTTCCCTTAAGATTAGAAACATGTCAAGGATGCCCACTCTCGCCACTATTGTTCAACATAGTACTAGAAGTCCTAGCAACAGCAATCAGACTACAAAAAGAAATAAAAGGTATTCAAATTGGCAAAGAAGAAGTCAAACTCTCTCTCTTCACAGATGACATGATACTTTATGTGGAAAACCCAAAAGACTCCACCCCCAAATTACTTGAACTCATACAGCAATTCAGTAAATGTGGCAGGATACAAAATCAATGCACAGAAATCAGTTGCTTTCTTATACACTAACAATGCAACTGTAGAAAGAGAAATTAGAGATCGATTCCATTTACAAAGCACCAAAACCCATCCATAAGATACCTTGGAATAAACCTAACCAAAGAGGTAAAGGATCTATACCTAAGGAACTACAGAACACTCATGAAAGAAATTGAAGAAGACACAAAAAGATGGAAAAACATTCCAAGCTCATACATCGGAAGATTAAACATTGTTAAAATGTCTATGCTGCCCAGAGCAATCTATACCTTCAGTGCCATCCCGATCAAAACACCAATGGCATTTTTCAAAGAGCTGGAACAAACAATCCTAAAATTTGTATGGAATCAAATATAACGAGTTTTAAATAATACCTCACCACAATGCCATTATCACTTTCCCCAAATACACATGTTTCCTTGATATAAATATGGAAGAATGAATTTGGAATAAAGTGTAAGTCTAACCTTCAAGGAATTTATAGCTTTGTGGAACAGATAGACAAAAACTCAGTGATTATTCATATCCGTGAGTGTGATTATAGTGGAATAGCATCACGTGCCTATGTAAATCATCTGAAAATCTGATCTGTTTAAGTGGTTGGGGGTGGTCCTAGCAGGGAGGGTAGGGAAGTCAAGGGAAAAAATAACAATGTAAATCATGGGAGGCATTTCTCCTGCTTCCCTTTTCCATGGATAGATGACCAGTATCAGTCAGTGGAGGCAGGATCCTACCTTCAGTCAGGCTCATTTCTTGCTTGCCTTTCAGAGTGTGAACATCTCATCACCCTGAATATAATTCTAG